CGACGTCATTTATTGAAAGCTACGATGACAATTCACTTAAAAATTATGTTATATGATGATTGCGAAAAATGAAGAACAATGACAAACGTTTCTTATCGTTCACTCTGTGAAATGCGGTTGTGGTTGTTGTAACAGCATATCGCACCCCGTCTTCAAAAGAGACACAACTCAAAATAATACGTTCGTCCAATCCCAATGCCCTGATGAAGTTTTGAGGGAGGTAGAGAGTGTATATGCGTAGCCTCTGGCCACATCTTTCCCAGGTGTGTTAGCCTTCTTCTCGCAACCGCATCGCATTCCAATAGGAGATACCGTGGGGTTTCTGGTGTCACATCGCAGTACCGACACAAATCGCCTGCACTGTTTCGCAGTTAGCATTCCTGTTAAGAATCTCAGGTTAGTCTTCGGAAGGGTTATTAGTTCCCTAGATCTTTTGAGGTTATATCCTCCCAGAAGTTCTTTCGCCTGTCTTAGCCCAGGCGTGTTCTCCCAAAGAGCTTTTCTTAGACTTCGCTCTTCTGCTCTTAACTCCCCCTTGATAGCCTGAGACCCCAATGCAAGGAAGGGTTCAGGGCCTATGGGTCAAGTGGCTGCGGCCTCTCTTGCTAGTCTATCAGCCTCCTCGTTTCCCTGTATGCCTTTGTGGCCCGGGACCCACACCAGTTGTAGTGCCTTATTTTCCCCCAGGATGTTTAATCTCGCTACACATTCCCATACCACTCGTGATTTAATCTCACATGAGGATATGGCCTTTAATGCAGCCTGACTGTCGCTGCAGATAACTATATGTTGCAGTCTTGCTTGTCTCTGCAGAATTATTTCCGCGCAAGCACTTATGGCGTAAACCTCCGCTTGAAAAATACTGGGGTAATTACCCAGGGGGATGGAGATCTTGGCCCTTGGGCCAAATATTCCTGCTCCTATCCCTTCGTCGGTTTTTGAGCCATCGGTGAACCACCTTTGGGTGTGAGCCTTGAAGGTGTTTTCTAAGTTTGTCTCATTCCAGGTCGCTTTGTTGCCTAGTTCGATCCTGAATTTCTTTTCAAAGATCTTCGTTGTACTCATGTCATCCCTGTTGAGCTGGGAGATGGGGATCTTAGATCTAATTTCATATCCCAATCTGCTCGAGATCACTTTCCCCCTGCCAGTGCCCTCCTTCATAAAGTTGAGGAGGGCTTTTTTGGCAATCTGTTCTATAACTATGTACAGTGGCGTCAGGTCCAAAATGACCTCCAGGGCAGCGGTGAGGCAGGTTCGCATGGCACCCGTTATGCATGTACACGCCCGCCGCTGGACTTTGGAGAGCGATGCTCTCACTGTGTTAAAAGTGATCCTCTGGGACCACGCCACCGCTCCATATGTAGCTATTGGCCTGACCCCCAGATATTTTACCTCATTGCACATTTCTAGCTCTATACCTCCTAGTGTTATGGGGTGCATGGCTGGGAGCTTCCCTCTCTTGGTAATCGGAATGATGGCGGTTTTGATGTTGAGGCCCACTGTGCCGCACCACCTTTTCGTTAGGGTAAGTGCTCTTTGTACTATATCACAGAGGGCGCTCTCAATTTTGCCCCTCGCTATGATTACTATATCATCCGCGTATCCTTGGCACATTATGCCATTATTGGATAGTAACTCGAGTAATTCATCTACTAATATGCTCCACAGGAGGGGGGACAATACTCCCACCTGAGGGCATCCTTTAACTGTTCTCAGCTGTAAGATTTTGTTTCCTACTATCGTCTCAGCTAATCTGGTCCTTAGCATTGTTCCGATCCACCTTCGAATCGGGACGGCTACGTCTCTTTTCTCTAGAGCTCGATCTACTGCCTCATGTGAGGTGTTGTCGAAGGCTCCTTCAATGTCTAAAAATGCGCAGAGCGCGACCTCACCCCCCCTCAATTGCATTCCGTATGGTAGTTGACAACTGGAACAGCGCAGTGTCCGTTGATCTACCAGCCCGATAGGCATGTTGCCCATGGTGTAACGGTAATGACTCTAGGGTGGTGGTTCTGATATGATTGTCTAGAATTTTCTCCATCGCCTTTAGAGCAAACGATGTTAGGCTGATCGGACGAAAGGATTTCGCCTCTGAGTAGTCTCTTTTGCCAATTTTGGGTATAAATAGTCCCAGTCCGTTTTGCCCGGTTAAAGAGTTTCCTGACCTCTTTCCGGCGACCTGAGAGTTTGGAGTTCCACCAAGGGTTACTTTTTTGACCCTTTGGCTCTGCTAGACGGCAGCTCGATACATAAGCATTGCTTATTGCCTCGTTTAAGCTGCCAACCTTTGCCTCCAATTCCGCCCATCGCTTCTCCCTGTTCTCTAACTTTATGGTGCTTAGACTGGTTTGTAAAAAGTTATGATAGCTAACCCAGTCAGTCTTCCTAGGATTCCTACTGGGCGTACCTCTGTCCATAGAAGCCTCCAGGGAGAACTGTATGATTCTGTGATCCGACATCGAGGGCTCCGAAGAGACTCTCCATCCCGAGATCAAATCGTCAGCCCAGCTATTCCCGAGAGTAATGTCTAGAACCTCCTCTCTTACCCTAGTTACAAACGTAGGCTTGCTACCCACATTGAAGATGCTAAGGTCTTTACTTAGTATAAACTCTAGTAATCTCTCACCTCTTCTGTTGGTGTCAGTGCTGCCCCACTGCACACTGTGCGCGTTGGCATCGCACCCAATGACCAATGGGAGGCACCTCTTTTGGCTATATTCTACCAGTGTCTTGATCTCCTCAGGTGGTATGGCAGAATCTCCTGAAAAGTAGGCCGATGCGACTATTATCGCCCTTAATTTCCCGCACAGATTCGTCATTATTTGGATTGCCACCAGGTCTCTAGTCATAAACTCTGAAATGCAGAAGTAGTTAATTTCCCTTTTTATCATTACACAAGCTCTTGGGTTATCGCATGATAGATCCCAGATTACCTTAGTCGATCTCTCCGTCAGGCCCCTCACCTGACCTCTGCTAGCTCCTCCAGCTCTCTGGTGGAGGGTACCTCTGTTGTTATTGTCCGTCTGTTGTCTCAGAAACAACCGCGGAGGTCGTAGGCCCTTCTACGCGGTGTTCACCGACAACGGTATCTGTTGCAATTATTGCTCTAATCGACGCAGCAGCAGCCGCGGAGGTCGTAGGCCCTTCTACGCGGTACTCGTCTCCAGCCCTTTCTTCTTCAGCTGTTTCCTCACCTGTTGGTGCCGCCTGTGCGTCTCCAGGAGCTCGTTGCTCCCATGGCTTCACTAGGACGTTGCCATACCTGAAGTTCTGCCTTCCCATGCTGCTGAATGACTCTTCGTCAACAGCCACATTAAGCCTTAAGTAGCTCTACCTTTGCCTCCATTACCCTCCAGAGGGATGTGTTGAGGCTTTCGTTTTGGGCTCGAAGGAGGCCCAGTGCATATTCCTGGCCTCTATCTATACTCCACGGGAGGAAATTGTGACATTGTGCGTCGGTGGAATGTCATCTCCGCTCCTCGTGTGCAATTCTGGTCCTCCCCAGCCCGTAAGCGTGGGTACCGTGCGTCGCAGCCATTCGGCAATTCCTTCGTCTCTGCAGTCCACCAATAGCATGCCAGGTCTGAAGTAGACTCCCGTGAAGGCAAGTGGTTGAGTCCACCCCCTCAGAACCTCATACATTATGGTGTCCTGCAGAGTTGTCAGTTGCTCCGGGGTGGGAGACATGGCGGGGTACTCCTGCGGTAACACCGCTATTCGGGTTGCCCTCATTGCGTCAGCGTAGCTCTGGATTTGTTTGCCTTTTTCCTGCTCGTGTCCCTGGCTGCTTGCTGCCTGACCCTTATTTTTAGTGGGCGAACTTGGCGGGTGATCTCTTGACCGCTTTGCTGGCTGCTGATTTACCGGTGCGCGCTGGCTGGTGGTGCGCTTGCCAACAGGAACCTTTTTCCCGTCTGTCTTCACAGCCTCGTTGCGTGCCGTGTCAGGGCTTAGGCCTCTTTCTAGGCACCGTAGGTACCGCGCTATTCCAGCACCGCTGAGGCCTCTTCGCCGCGGGTCGTCTCGTGCTCCGCTATTGGTCCGCGCCTACGTCTGGGGCCTCTTCGCTCATCTCCAGGGGCCAGGGGGTTTTCCGGCCCTCGAGCCTTCCCTCCTCTTTAGGACCTGGCTTGCTGCGAGAAGGCGAGGTTTTTCGGCCCTCGAGCCCAGCTCTGCCGTCCATGCGGTGGTACGCGCGTTGAGGTGAGGTCATACGGCCCTCGAACCTGTTTGTATCGGTCCTGCTCTTCGCATTCCGTTGGTCTTTTGCATGGGGGGGGGGGGGCGTGGCTTCTCTACCCTCGGCCCTGCTGTGGACCGTATGTTGTGGTCGGTGCTGTCGCCCAGACGAGGTCCAATTCCCCTCAGGCCTGTTACACGAGACTCCCTGCCCCTGGGTGTTGTGTGGCAAGGCTGTGTTACCCTCGGGCACGTTGTGAGGACTCTTGTGGTGACTCTTGCGATTCGTCGCGATGGTCCATTTCCCATCTGAGCTGCTGTCCGAGCCAGCATTCGGGTATCTGCGGTCGTGTCTCTCCGGATGCGATGACTTCATCGCTGGGTCAGAGTGATAGTGGGAGCCCGGGGGCGAGGTCATTCTGCCCTCTAGCCTCCTGCTCGTGTATTCCCTTCGCGTTTGGTCATAGTAAGACGAGGTCATCCTGCCCTCAAGTCTCGGGTGTTGGCCCTCCAGCCTCTTGCTCGTATCTTCCCTTCGCTTGTGATCAACATGAGACAAGGTCATACTGCCCTCAAGTCTCGAGTGTTGGTATTCTCCTTGCTGCGGGTTGTGTGGAGTCGAGGTCGCTCTGTCCCCCATTCCTCTGTGTTCGGGCTCTTGTCGCCGTTCAGCATCTGCAGACGAGGTTTGCCTGCCCTCCAGCCTCCAGCCTCCTGCTCGCTGGCTCATTTAGTACGATCCCGTGTCTTCCACGGACTGATTCCCGGTGGTGGGAAGGCCATTTTCGCTGGGATTCAGTAGTGTGGCTTGCATCTGAGCTGCTACCGGACTCATTTCTTCGGCGCCTGCGAGTGTTTTCGCGTGCTGAGGAGGGTTTTCTTCCCTCCAGCCATGTTTTTTCGCCTCTCTCGGCGGACCCATGCCGTTTGTGGTCAGCATATGTGCTCGGCTGCTGTTCGGAGGGGCGAGTTGTGTTAGCCTCGGCCACTCTCCAGTCTGTGGCTGTCTCATAGGCGCAAGTCCTTTCTGGGTGTTGCCGGCTCGTGTCTCTCTCATCTTCGCTACTTCTTTGGGGTCTTTGTTCCCGGGTCTTTGTTCGCCGGTGGGCGCTTTTCCGCCTCTCTTACGGTTTGACCTGCTCTCGCTGCACGAGGGGCCGTCGTCGTCGCGGGCGTGCTCGGCAAATAATGCCGCCTCTTCAGGCGAGAGGTCCTTCAAGCTGTCTAGCCATCGTGTCGATTTTGTATTTTTATTTTTATTTTTTTTGTGGTTCTTCATCTTGTTCTTACGACCACCTGCTCGTCAAGGCGAGCTCAGTGATCTAAATATAGTTCCGGGGATCTCAGATCGTTACTCCCTGAGGCGGCCCGGTGTCAGGAAGGCGCCGTTATAATACAGCCGGATTGTTGACCCCTCTGGCTGCAAACCCTCCAATGGGCACGGTGTCGCATTACACCCAGGATAAGGGGGGTGTGGCAGTTCTTGGTCGCTGTCCATCAGCGGGTCGCACCAGAGCAGTGCAGTGCACTCGTACCATACCCGGGGGGGTGCTGATACGAGCGTGCTAACACTCCCTGATGCGTCCCGGTTGGTGGTTCAACTAAGCCCCCGCACCAACGACAAGGTGCCTGCCCTAGCGAGGGGCAGTGAAGCGTTAAAGCATAAACAGACGGCAGCGTTGATCCGGATCAATTCGGGAATTAACTGCAGTTGATCCGGATTAAGTACGAGTTAATCGGGCCTCCGCACACTAGCCTGCTCAGTCGGACTAAGCAGTCCACCACTCGAACGCACACTGGACTGGGCAGTCGGCCGAGTTTTCCGATCTAAAAATATTCTACATTCTACACCATTTCTACGAAAAGTTGTTTTTGCCCATATAAAATACATGAAAAACTTTAAGCGCTTTGAGCACTCCTTAAATTCCTATTTATTTTAAAATAAAAAAAAAATAGTGGTATATTTTTTTTTTTGTATAGAACAATCCTAGGGGGTGCCGCCATTAAAATTTCGACTTTACTTTTTCACGTGCAATTTTGGTCCACTCTAGTGCATATATAAATATATATATATATATGTACATATATAAATGAATTTGTACTAGGAGGCGTGGCTCATAGGGGACATATGTATATTTCGTTTTAACATTACATGAAGCATTTTTTCAATGCAGTAATCATCCACGTCTAGAAAGAAATGCACCTAAGTCTATAAAGATTTTATTGATTAAGGTTTCCTGAATTTGCATTTCACAAGGTTATCACCGGGGAAAAATGCAAGTCACATTCATGTGTGAAACTATGCACTATATTTTTCTATGAAACTTTAGTAACTATTTTGACTTTTTTCGTTCAATACACTTTCATACCTACACACACATGTATGCATTGATTTCAAGTGGTAGCGATTGCTGTTCGATTGCATAAAAGCGGTGATCCTCTTCACCCACCAGTTACCTATACATACATATGTAAGTAATACATTGTAAGTAAGTAATCTCAAATGCCTTTGAACCTGTACTGTCAATCAAATTCATACGAGCGCAGTTGTAGCCTGTAGTTCATAGGCCCGTGCGATCCACTAGAGCTCATGTAGACATCAATATACATACATACTATATATGTAGCTACATATGGTAATATCGAAATGTAGGTCCGACCATCTTATGACTTTTATATATCTACCAGCCAGGGATGAAAAATGGAAATTTC